ATATATATATATATATATATATATATATATAATGCTGTATTGGCTTTGGTCTACACTGCTTAGAGTAGCTCATGCATTTATGCAGAGCGTAATATATTGTAGATCGATTAACAAACATCACGCCACTTTTGCTGTTATCTCAGAGTTTCGCTTGCGCGATCATTAAAGTGTGTCTGATGATTAGCAAGCGTGAAACTCTGAGTAACAGCAAAAAGTATTGTCTTGTGTTCTAATCTATCTACAATATATATTATATATATATATATATAATATATATATATCTATATAATATCAGCTATGCTACATCTATCTATCTAATCTATCTCTATGCCTATACCCTATCTATCTAATGATCTATCTATCTATTTCCTATCTGATCTATCTATACTATGCTATCATTATCTAGTCATTATCTATCATATCTATCTTCTATCTTCTACTATCTACACATCTATCTATCTATCTCTCTAGTCTATCTATCTATTATCATCATAATCTCTCTATATATCCTATCAGGAGTAGGATAATATGGAACCCTATTATCTACCGCCTGATTATCCATCTAATCTATCAGTCTATCTATCTATCTATATATCTATATATATATATATACATATATATATATATACTTAGCCGACTCTATCTATCTATTCTATCATTACTTATTATCTTCATCTTATCTATCTATTCTATCTATATCTCTATCTATCTATCTCTACTATCATCTATCTATGCTATTCTCTATCTATCTATATATATACATATATGATATATATATCTACCTAACCTATCTATCTATCTATCTATCTACTTATCTTATCTATCTAATCTATTTACTATCTTATCTATCTATCTATCTATCTACCTTATCTCTATCTAATCTATCTCATCTACGCTATTCTATCGTATCTATCTACCTATCTATCTATCTATTCTATCATATCTAATCTATCTCATCCTTTTCCTATACTAATCTATCCTATCTAGATTAGTAGATGTGTCCGTAAAGGAACAAGCTTAGCGTGCTCCGAGTGGCCGTTATGTTAACGCTGCCAGTGTATAACTGATATGTAAACGTACAAGTATAATGTATGTAACGTTGAACGTGGTCTCACGTATAGGCGTATATGGTGGAATGTAGATCCTATGAATTGTATGATGTTTGTACAGTACATCTCAAAATTGTATTATTTTAACGGTGACCTCAACACTATTGCATTTATAAGTTATTTTCCATGGAAAGAAGACTGCTTCACTAGCATGTACTATGTATCTTGAATTAATGCAAGTAACGATTTAATTAATAATAATAATACATAATAAATAATTAAATAATAATGTAGTAATAAGGCTTTGGTTACAGCGGAGCCATCTTCGCTGTTGTAATCAACACAATGCATAGGAGATGTGCGGCTGTCGTGCATCCGGCTGCTGCTGGTATACTCAACCTGCGAAGCCAACACACCAAACTTGGCTTTCACGGCGAGCCATTGTGAAAATATGCAAATAGAAACATTTATCATATTAAAATTACCTTAATTATTCTCTGCTGTCTAAAAACCAGAGTCGAGTAAATTAAAGTCACTAATTAGAAGTGTTATATGTTTTAAGAATGGTATTTGAATTTCATGGCGGCCATTTGAAAATCGACTGGCACGGCCCACTTTAAAGGCGATTTCGTTGGGCGCACCTCTAATTCTGTTGAGCACCTATCAAAGTTACATGTGTGCCAAATTTCTGGTGCTGTTTATCAAAAATGAACACCTTAACCTCTTTTGGAGCTTAGAACCCTACTAATTGCCTCACGAATGTAAGCGCTAGGCATATATATAATATATAATATGTTGTGTGTGTGATGTGTGTGGTGGTGTGTGTGTGCTGTGGTGTGTCTGTGTGTGTGGTGTGTTCTTGTGGTGTTGTGTGCATGGTCGGTGCGTGTGATGTGGTGTGTGTGTGTCGTGGTGTGCGCGCGTCGTGCGTGCGTGTCGTGCCTATGAGTTCGTACGTGTGTTACCTTGTAGTCTGCTACCTGCGCGTGTTCATAGTCGCTGAATGTTCTGAGTAATCTTCTTTAGAGTCGTGGAATTCTTCTTAAACTTCTCATAGTTTCGATTGTTTCAATGGCACGACGACAGACCCGCAGACATAACACCACTGGTGGATGCTATGGTGGATGGCATATTGCATGAGACACCGAGTCAACTGCAGGCAACTCGTGTTCGCGTTTGACGCGTACAAATAAAAGAAAGAACTAATTCGTATTTCCATTACCGTTTATCGTTGGTGAACGGAAGGAAAACGGAGAAACGAAAACGATTCGTATTATCGCTTACGTTTTCTTATGTGTATGAAAGCGATAGCGAAATAACTACCTTTTTCTCGTTTTCGTGTTTTCGTGAAGTAAAGAAAACGAAAAGACGGTATATACACGGACCTATCTCTCCCCTGAGACCTCAGCTAATTATGATAGACATTAATTCGAAATTTGTGGAATGTGTGACGGCACTAAATACCATTTGTGTTCCCACTCGCTTGCCCAAATACGTTGTGTGCGCGTGCACGCGCAGGCGCGTGTATATGTGGTGTGTAGTACGTGCTGTGCGTGCGTGCGTTGTGCGGTGTTGCGCGCTGGTGTACGTGATGCTATGTGCGTGGTCGTGTCGTCGCGTGTGTGATTGTGGTGTGTGTGCGTGTGGTATGTGTGTGCTGTTGTGTGTGTGTGTTGTTGTGGTGTGTAGTGTGTTGCTGTGTGGTTACGTGTGTGTGTTGTGTGTGTGGTTGGTGTGTGCGTTTTTAGCTCATTGACTAGTCAGATGCAGCTTTGTAGAATCGCATTGAGGTGTCCGTGCGTCGTGAGCGTCCGTGCTCCGTCCGTGCGTCAGTCCTCGTGCGTCGTCCGTCAACACAGTTGGCCATCAAATCTTAACCGCTCGAACGTCGGTACGGATCATTCGGAGTGGGGGGTAATCGAAAGACGAGATGGGAGTCGAACGGTGGGGTCAAGTCAAAGTGTCAGAGGTGTAAAATAAGGGCGACATTCACTCCTTAATATAGTAAGGAAGGAAATGAGAATGCTGCACAAATAGATAGATAGATAGATAGATAGATAGATAGATAGATAGATAGATAGATAGATAGATAGATAGATAGATAGATAGATAGATAGATAGATAGGCGGCTATACTGAATTTTTACGCGAGACTTTTCTCTAGCAATCGAAGTCAATATCAAAATTCAAGATCGAGCAGGAATTTCTTTATGCTATCAGACGTAGATGCCATAAATAATGCTTCATGGTTGTGACGATAAAAATTCAATGATTTATTATACCATCATTAATTATAAATTGATTTAATTTGAATTTGACGTGTAGATTACGGGTTTACCTCTAACGTGTATTGCATATTGTGGAAAGAGTTGAAATACTCCACGTTGTGTCCGTCGTGTGAGCAGTTGCCGTAGGGATGAGAGAGCCGAAAAACCTTTTTCTGCCGTTGCAATCAAAAAGATTATATACATGACATTATGCACCAAGACGCACGCACGCACACACAGGTACGCACGCACACACAGTGTCACACACACACGCACACATACACACACGCACACACGCACACACACACCCACACCTACCACGTGTAGACCGACGGAGGTTTCCAGGCCGGGAGCTAGGTCGATGCCGTACTGCTCGGGAAAGCCGTGAGTGTTGGCTGGATGTAAGGACATCACGACGCCTGCCGACTGTGCGTACCGACCGATGTACTCATCCTGCTCTATGTAGAGCGTCAGCGACAGACCTGTGGGCAAGAACACCACCACCGTGAGGCGGCGAGGGAGAGCAATGAGAGGCGTACACCCACCAGCCAATATCCGCCAACACCCGGCAACATCCGCCAACATTCGGCAACATCCACCAACACCCGGCAACATCCACCAACACCTGGTAACATCCACCAACATTCGTCAACATCCACCAACACCCGGCAACTCCAGTCAACATCCGCCAACAACGCCAATATCCGCTAACATCCAGCAACATCTGCCAAACCCTGCCAACAAGCACAAATAGCCGACAAAACTCATCATGACCCGCCAACACCCGCCAACTTCCACCAACACCTGTTACCATGCCGTCAACACCTGCTAACAACAGCCAACATCCGCCAACATCCACCAACACCTGTTACCATCCCGTCAACACCTGCTAACAACAGCCAACATCCGCCAACATCCACCACTACCCGTCACCACCCCCACACCTGCTAACAACAGCCAACAACCGCCAACATCCACCAACACCTGTTACCATCCCGCCCACACCTGCTAACAACAGCCAACAACCGCAAACAACCGCCAACCCCTACCAACGCCAGCCACTCCACGTATTCTGGTGGTTATCGCGTTGATCGATTCAGTAACGAGTGCCGACGGAAGCGAAAACATAAATCGAAGCTCGTCATAACTAGACTGTCAACCTAGCAGAACAGTGGGGGGAAATAAATTACATCCGAGGATTGAACGAATGCAACTAGAAGACGCGTCAAACAATTTGAAGTGCTCGTGATGCTCTCTTGTTATGCCAGAGGGCGCAGCCGTACCGTGTAAGGATCCAGTCCGTCCTATCATCTTGACGGGCTGGTGTTCCCCGGAGTTGAAGGTGTAGCAGTTGCCGTATACCGGGTGTTGTGAGTGGTCCCAATCCCTGTACA